GGGGGGAGGGGCTACGCTCTGAAGAGTTGGAGCTCCGTCCAGCGCGCGTTCAGCGCGCCCGGAACTCCGGTGCCTCTCCTTGGATAGACTTCGTGGGCCAAAAGCTGCACCAGCTGAGCCTTGGATCACCGGCCATGAGTCATCAAAACCGATCGGTATCAAAAGGTCGACCTAGAACCATGGTAAAGAATTGGCTGTGGGTCAAAACCCTGTACCCCTGGTGAACATCAAAATAGGTGGTACATGGGTGTTCATCCGCCCCAAGATGGAGGCATAGGTTTTGACCCATGGCCAATTAAGAAGGCGGATATCCGCTATGGTTGGGATTGTCCCTTACTAACCTTCGCCTACACTCCACACGAGTCTTGATTGTGACTCACTTAGTGTTGCAAATGGTATCAGTCACATGGTATGCAAGGGCGGCAACAGACAGTAGTTACAGTAGGCAGGGCAGAAGAAAATATTTGGGGCCCCCCTGTCCGTTTGGTTTCCTTCAAATCCACCAAAAAAGGGGTACCCTCAAAAGAAGACAGACCCATTTGATTGGCCGCATCCGTGTGTGCCCTCCTCTTGCAAAACCGGGAGCCTCAGGCTCTGGCCCGATAATCATGGCCACTACCCTTGGCATTGGCTTGAAATTCGTCCAGGCGCTTCTGGTTGCTTGGGTCCTTGAAAAACGACCTGCGCGCGACATGCGTTCGATGCGTTCGATGCGTTCTTTGGCAGCTGACAGATTTCGGTGGCCGGTTCGCCTCATGAAGCGCAGCACGATGCCGCATTGGCTGATTGTGAATCGCCTCAGCCGGCGACCTCTCGCAGATGGGCCACAGCCGGCAGTCACGGAATGAACCACGAAGTTTATTGCAACCGTTCCACAAAAACGTGCGCGAGCAGGGACCATGCTGCTTGTCTTGCTTGTCATGGACACAGATTGCATAGCACAAAGTCTCGCACGCCTCGCTCGTTCCTTCTAAGTGCGCAACATGTAGAAGCTGCGAGGCCCCCGGAAGTCAGAAACGGTGATCTCGCTGGGGACCACGTCCTTGGCTCAAGGCGCTATGCCCATTCAGCCCCTTGAAGTCATGATGCCTGCCAGCTGGCCATTCCACTGAGCAGCAGGCAGTCTCCTGCATCATTTGCATGTCGCGCCCCTGGCGCTGACAAAGGACGCGGGCCTGACCAGGTGCAAGGGGCAAGATGAAATGAGTTTCAATCAGTTTGCGGGGCAAATGCTGAGAGGCAGCCGGATTGGGTACTGTGCCTCTGCAGGCAAGTGCCGTCCCAGCACCCATCCTGCCATTGTTTCCCTTGATCCAAATGCAGGTCTACTAGCCCTGCCAAAAACGGCGGGCGGACGCAAGTCGCTGACAGTGGAGCCCTTCCTTGGCTGCCGGTTGATAGAATTCAACATGCCTGGTCTCTGGGCCAAAAGAAACCCAGTCCCAGTGTGCCGCTTTAAGGAGCCTTCTCAAGTGGCGGGAAGGACGGGCAAAAAAGGGCGGTGCTTCTGACAGCTCATATCAGGCCTCATGATTTTACCATGATCAAAGTCACCCCCTAAGTGACGGGTTAAAGGGAAACAACCGATTCCATTTTCTGACTTCGACCCTGGAAACAATCAAAATAATGACCCCAGCATATGCCAAGGCTCCTGAGCCAAACCCCGAAGGACTGCTTCGCGGTGAAGAACTTTTTCACCGTTGAGCTCTGACAGCTGACGCCTCAACACCGGTGCAGCGTCGGGGGAACGTCCCCAAAGGATGCAATATGGCTGTGGCTCAAAAAACCGGTACCAAAGTAGAAGTCTGGAAAGTGGAAACATGGACCAAAACCTGCGGTTTGCCCCTCCTGTTTAATTTTGAGCCACACCCATATGGCTATGGGTCCAAATTAGACCAGGAATTGGACCGCAGATTGTAGTCCTTGGTTCCACTACTCAGGGTTCCATTTGGGCCTTTTGGGTACCCATTTTTGACCCACACCCATATTACCCGCTCCGGGGCGAAGGCGAACGACCTGCGAGCGCTTGCTCTCCTTCGCCAAGCGGTTCCAAATATGGTGAAGCCTCTTTGCCACGCAATGCAAAAGGCTCCTCCTCCGCACCAGCGCTGGCAATTTTGTCCTCCTCCTCCCAAGTCTCCTTGCCGATTTGAAGCTGCCAGGACATACGGACGCAACCGTCCACCCCTCAGCCACTTGAGGCACGCTCCTCTGCGCTGCAAAGCCCAGCAGCAGCTGCAACCTCCGGCGGCAGCACCTGGAAAATGGGAAATGGCAAACCTCCAAGCATGGCATCACGAGCCATTTCTGAAAGGCCTCAAAGCCGCAAAGCTTCCGGAGTTATCTTTGAGGTGGTTCTTTGGCTTCTTTGCACTTGAGCATGGCTCGGCTTAAGGGAAGGAGTACGTCCTGGCTCCTGACCCGTCATGTTTCATCCAAAAAAAAACATGTGGCCTGTCATAACTTTTCTTGGACCAGGGTCCACGTCGGGAACCTTCATCTTGACCGACGCCTTGATCTATCTCAACCATCTCCGGAACAGGACGTTGCAACATATTGACAATTGATCCCGCTGCTTTGCTCAGAGCTTAAAGTGGCCGGCTAACATGTGGCCTTGTGGATTGCCTTTGCATGCCTTTTGCCTTAAAAAAAGAGAGAAAGAACAAAAAAGAGAAAACAACAAAACAACAAGTAGATTGCTTTACCGAAAAAAAAAAAAAAACATCTGTGGATGAGCTCAGCTTTTCTGGGCGTCCGCACCCACAGCTCCTCAACTCTTGGCCCCAGCCTGGCGGAACCTCAGCAAGCGAGCTGGCGAATTGCGAAGGCATGTGAGCGGCTGTGCGAAATATGCACTTTCGGCCCACGTGTTTCCGCGTTGGCCTGCACTTGGGGTGGGGGGGGGGGCACCCATATTACAAGTCATTTTGGAAGGACACCAAAGGGACACTGCCCATTTTACGGCGTCCCCAACCCCAAACAGCTGAATTGTTGGGAATACTGGAGGGCCTGATGAAAAACCGCCCCACAGGCACCTTCAGGCACCAATCCTGATACACGATGGTTGCGGCGGCAAGAAAATCCGGGGCGGAGCCCTCTTATCCGCAGTTAGGCCATGGTCGCCTCATAGGATGATGTACAGCTTCTGAAATTCGTTGAGGTTTGGCTCTTTCAAAATAGAGTAGTGAAATCAATTGCTCAACATGCTGTGCATGCTGAAGGATTGTACCCTGCCAGGGCTCGACCACGCCAAGCGAGCAGCGCTCAAATCCAGCCCCTTTGTAAGAACCAAGGTAGCCACAAGGTGTTCGCCCAGAACTCTACGTTTGCCCGCGCCCCCGCCCCCCGCCGCAAGACGCAGGCTGCCAGCTCGGCTTTGTTCTTCAGGAAAGACACATAACCCCCCCAGAAGACACATGCCCCCCCCCCCCCCACCCAGAAACCCGAAACCCCCCAACCCTAAACTGTGTTGCTGGTCAACAAAGAGAAGACACATTGCCCCCCCACCCAGAAACCCGAAACCCCCCAACCCTAAACTGTGTTGCTAATCAACAAAGAGAAGACACATTGCCCCCCCACCCAGAAACCCGAAACCCCCCAACCCTAAACTGTGTTGCTGGTCAACAAAGAGAAGACACATTGCCCCCCCACCCAGAAACCCGAACCCCTCGCACCCTAGACTGTGTTGCTGGTCAACAAAGAGAAGACACATAACCCCCCCAGCCAGAATTCGAAACCCCCAACCCTAAACTATGTTGCAGGTCAACAAAGAGAAGACACATTGCCCCCCCACCCAGAAACCCGAAACCCCCCAACCCTAAACTGTGTTGCTAATCAACAAAGAGAAGACACATTGCCCCCCCACCCAGAAACCCGAAACCCCCCAACCCTAAACTGTGTTGCTGGTCAACAAAGAGAAGACACATTGCCCCCCCACCCAGAAACCCGAAACCCCCCAACCCTAAACTGTGTTGCTAATCAACAAAGAGAAGACACGTAACCCCCCCAGCCAGAATTCGAAACCCCCAACCCTAAACTATGTTGCAGGTCAACAAAGAGAAGACACATTGCCCCCCCACCCAGAAACCCGAAACCCCCCAACCACCATACTCCTGTGCGGCAACTGCTGATCTGTGGGCGAACGTGACATTCTGCGGGAAGGTGTTTAGTCCCAAAAAGTCCGCCTTCAAACCAGACGTGTAGACATGTCCAAGGTAAGACGTGCAAACATGGCCAAGGTACACCTGAGCAGCGGCATGAACCCTATACCTTGGCTTCCGACCTCTGAGAGGTGCTTGTGCTGCCTGGCCCAGATTTGATAGTGTGGGACGAAGGGACGGGGGCTTTGTGGCTCCATGGTTGCCACGAACATCCACAAATCAAAACCTGGCATCTAAATGGTCTACCCAGAACCATGTGAAGAATTAAAAAGGCGGCTGCGCCAACTTATGCTTGGGATTACCGCTTACTGACCTTTATCTACCCGGGCGTGATTGCACGAGTCTTGATACATTCGTGCAATGATGCATTGTTCAACCACTGGATTGAATCGACGGCCAGCCGTGCACTTGCTCATTCGGCCTTCAAAAGCTTGCACCATTGCTGCCCTGACTTCGTCTCTGGCCGAAGGTTGTCCTGGCGCACCCAAAAAAATCCAAATGCTGGCCAAGCGCTCTGCTAAAGGCGTCGGTTCTCAGGCATAAGTTGGCTTCTCTTGCCCAACTGAACCACCCATGGGCAAATGGCCATGGGTCAAAACCCCGTACCCCCAGTGAACATCCCAATCCCCGATAAAATAGACTAAAGATGACTAAAGTATGTGGTGCACCTATCCCAAAATGGTACCATTGGTTTTGAACCATGGCCACGGTAAAAATTCTCCGGCCTCTGCTCCTGGGAGCTTGGCCAGGAAGGAAATGCCCAGCACATCAGCAGCAATCTGCAAGGGGCAGCACAGCACACTACTAGACATAATACGGACAGTAATAGTATGGACAAACCCGTGCAGCGCAATTGCTGGCAAGCCGGAGTATCTGTGCCTGATCGCGCCGTGACTCTGTGTGGATCCTGGCAGTGTACCAAAGCCCTCTCGGCATGCTTTCAGGCTTCTGGCGCTGGCGACATCTTGCCAATATATGGCCATGGGTCAAAATCCCGTACCCCCAGTGACGATCCCAATCCCCACTAAAATAGGTTCTAAAATGGGTGGTGAATTCACCTACCAACCAAAATGGTATCCCAAAACGGTTCTGACAACCGCAGCCAGTTATAAGACCATAGCACCAATGCGTCTCAACCCATCCGAGCCAGATGCACCCTCCAATCTGCCCGAACGGCACGGGCGGAGGAACCCGGTAGACCTGGCAGCAATTGGATGAGTGCAGCACCCATTGAATTCACAGTATCATGACATGAGAGTCCCATATCGTTTGCCATGGTTTTGTGTGCATTTTCAAAATATCAATGAAACACCGAATACTAAACTCAACAGAAGTAGTTTGGACGGTACTTCATGTCCGCCATGGCCCATGATCTTGCATTTGCAACTTCAAGTCCGCAGTCAACATATGATATATGTTCAGGAACAAGCTGGATCAAGCGGGATTCAACAACGAAGAATGCCATTTTCAGCAAATGCACCCTCAAAAATACCAGGCTCGTCATTTTGGAAGAAATAGAGGGTTCGGTTTAACACCCCCCCCCCCCCCCCACAATTCCATGAAACGGACCTGTCTATATGTCCATCAAGAGGCACTACAAAAGCACGGCAAAGGCGTAGCAGAGAAGTCTCGGTTCCTTTCTACTTCCTTGCTAAAAGTTTAGCTTTTTTGAGTGGTTTAATGAAAAACCCACTTGGCAAAAAGTTAAAGTCCTACCATCCAAGCAACATGCACCAAAGAAGTGCACCTTGTAGGTGTCGCAGGGGCTCTGGAGCTGGAGGCCAAGTGCTTGCAGCACGTCCTTCACCTCAACGCGGTGAACGAGACCGCTGCCCCGCACGGGGAAAAACCCATGAAGGGCACGGGGCAAGCTTCCCCATTGCAAGTCTGACACGTCTGAACCCAAAGGACAGTGACTTTTTTGAAGGGCACATTTCGGGCAGAGGCTCACAGCTCAGAGGTGACGCACGGCAACATGTTTCAAACCTGCTTCAAACAAAAAAACAAGAAACACAAGCATTGTTCAGCTGAGGGCATGCAAAGACGTGGCCCGACTTGGTGGTCAAAGTCAATGCACTAACTGAACGACATTAGAAGAGCTGTTCACTGGTTCAAGTTACGCCATGTTCATCCGACTTCAACACATCACTGCATCCCAGACCGTTGCTCTGGAAGGATACTCGATGATGTGGGTCTGACCATCCGGCAAACGACACGTCACCTGTCGCAAAAGGCAGGCCCATGCACATCCCCAGTCAGACTTGCGTGTGAAACGCAGAACGTAGCGCACGGGACTTGACAAGGGCCAAACTTGACGCCGTGCCTTCTTGCTGCCGCCGCAACTCTTAGATCGTCCTTTGCGCGAAATACGTGTCCAAAATCCATCAAGCGAGTGCCTGCACATAACACATGCTTAAACGAGTGCAGCTTCGCGCAGCCTGTGGCCCGGCCAAGGGCACGTCCAGCGGGACCTGGACAAGTTCAACTACGTTTGCGCAACAAAAGATGCAAGCATGCCAGATTCGGCCGGTCTTGTTTGGGCACGGGTGACTTCTCCATTGCGTCTGTATCTTGAGTCTCAACTTCTCCAAACAAAGTTCTCACGGCAAAGCAGCCTGAAGCATGCATCCAATGGTTCAGCTCCATGATGTCCATGTCCTCGGAGAGAGTATGTCACCAACTATTCCGAGCGCTGTGACGTTTCACAAAGCAATGCCGGATGTCCTCTACTCTGAAAGCTATCGCATCCCAGTGTTAACCAAAAAATCCGCCCCGGTTGGCAAACAGACTCTTCAACGGCGCCCCTAGTGTTTACCAAATTTCAGCCCGGCTGGCAAACAGACTCTTCACAGAAACCACACGTGGATTTGTTCCTCGCCTCCCACCGAAAAGTTCTAGGGATTGATTCCCCATTCTTTTCAACCATCGTTCTTTTCAAAAACCAGCCTTTTCCCCAGGGTTTTGGGCGGTCTTTTAGAAAGAAGGATGCCAGGAAAGAATGGGGAAGGTACCCCTAGAAAAATCCGTCACATCGAAAACCGCTCAGCTGAGGCTGTCGCCATGGCCTCGGTGTCTGGTACCTGGGCAATGGCAGCAGGAAACACTCAGATGGCCATGGGTCAAAATCCCGTACCCAATCTCCACCTACAATAGGTTCTAAAATGGGTGGTGTACCTATCCCAAAATGGTACCATTGGTTTTGATTCACCAATTCGGCATGAGGAGGGGGGGGGGTGTTGGGATTTTTTTGGTTTGGGAGAGATGAGGGGTTTTGGGGTTCTGGGCGTTTGGGGGTTTTGGAATCTTGCGATCGGTGCGAGAGATGCAGGGAATGAGAATTGAAATGACCCCGAGATGAACCATCCAACTGGTTTACTTTAAGGGTGCCCCAAAACGGCTCATTCCAATTCTCGTTCCCGACCTATCGCAAGCAGCAAGCATGAGCAGGGGGTTTTGAGGTTTTGGGTTTAGGAGCATCAGAATTCAGGATCGCGTTGCGTATTCCGTACTTCCATGCGTCGAATCGAGTTCCACCGATCCCGGCCTGCCGCACTGGAATGGAGTTCGAGGTGTTGCCTGGCATCGCATCGCACGGCAGGTGAAGGGAAACAACCACTGGCGGAAAAAAAAGGTATTCGAAGCGCGTGCCGCTTCGTCAAAACAAACAAATATCCCATGGTTGGTGATGCCGGCAAGTAGACTGTGGTCCAGTGTTTTCAATCAATCGAGTCCAGTTCGTCACCTCGGATCAAACAACCCACGAACCCGGCCGATGTCACCTCAGGCCACGCCTCCATGTTGCACGTGCAGGCAGATGCCGAACTCATCATGCACCAGGTGTACACTGCGCTCACCTTGGCGCGCCAATGGGTTGGGCACCCTCAGGGCTTCAAGGCGAACAGTGCAACAAGGACAGCCGCTCAGCCTCGGCGAATCTGCAGCTGCATCATGAAGTTGAAATCCTGACAATGGATTGGCTTGCGACTTCGGGGAGACTAAGGTGTGCCCTTCAAAGGGAGGAACAGGACGAAAAAAAACGGGTGTTAGAGGTCCTCGCGACCTCACCAGGAACCCCTTTTCAAGCCTTCAGCTCTTAACCTCTGCGAACGGGTGCAGTCCTCGCCCAGGTTGATGTCACTATACCACCTGAATAGGAAGGATACCACGGAAAATTGCGGCTTTGCGGCTTTGCGAGGTCAGGGCAAATCGATGCTAGCTCTCCTGCGGTAGACATAAGAGAAGCCATAGCCATAGGCCCAGCTCTTGACCTGCCGCCCGTGAAAATTACCATTGGTTGGACACCCACTCAACCAAAAAACTGGAAGTTTGCCACTCACTGGCTATGGCCCGTGGGTTTCCAACCATTGGTTTGCCACTCACTGGGAAAAGTTTTGCCTATTGCCCCGTGGCTGGGGGGCCGACCCTTCCATATTGATCCACCCTTATGAGATCCTGACTCCACGGCCCCCGCCTTGTCGGAGCTTTCATCGAGGCCTTTGGTGAGACCCCATGCAATGGGGTCACAGAAGGACCAGGTGTCCGAGTCCATGTGGTAGACATACCTGCTCGGCAAGCTTGCACTGCGACTTGCACTCGACTTACCATTTTTTTCTTTCTAACTCTTGTTTTTAAAGCACTATTGGATAAACAAATGCTTCAAACCAAGAAAACGCCGAAACAATCCGAAGCTTGCTATGGGCCCGGCCAATTGGACAATTTCACCGCCAGCGCCTGCTCACTTTCAGCAAAAAGACGCGTCACAAGGTCAGAAAGCTCGCGTCCAGCATGTTGGCTGAGAATCAGTCCAGGGGTTTGGGAGGCTAGTGCTGTCTGGCGAAAATTTGTGATGCTCCCAATGGTTGCTATCCCAATGGCACTGCTCAGCTAAGTGGCACGTTGCTCTTCCATAGAGCCCACCATGGTGTCTAGGTAGCATGGAGCCTAGTGAGCCAAGCATGATGGAGTGACATGTAGTTGCCTGTTGGACAGAGCAGGTTGATCTTGAAAATTTGCAGCCAAAGCAAGTGAGTTCGCAGCATACAGGTCGTCATCGTCAAAGCTGGCAACGAATTCTCCGGAGGCCAGGTGTATGCCGACATTCCTGAACAGCCAAGGGCTAGCCAAACATCGCACGCGTACAGCCCCTAGGCCCGAGACCTCTTCAGTCCAATGCTGAAGTCCTCTCCAGGTGCCCTCTTGAATTTGGCATACACCTGGCAGGTTGTGTCTGGACATTGGACATGCTTTGCTGCCAAGTAAAGGCAGGTCCGCGACTCTGGAGTCTGCCTGCGACTTCCTTGGCATTCAAAATCAATGGTACCTGCGGAAGCCAATACCAATTTGCATCTTGGAGTCTGAAAGAAAAACTCCGAGTAGGAGTTCTGGTAAGTCTCCACAATCACAAGCTCCTGTTCATGGGCAGGGTTCTCTGGGCAAAGGATGTCATTGAGCAGTGTCCTTGTCTGGCCAGCTCTGGGCATCAAAACACCTGGGCTCGCAAAGGCAAGTCTGTTGGGTAAAAATGTGAAACTCAGACGACACGATCGGCCGACACTGATGTGAAATTCCGCTGACGAGAATGTGAAATTCGGCCGACGCATTGAAGAAATGCGGCTGAGACAGATGTGAAATTCGGCAGACGTGCCCACGTTGTTGCGGCCAGCATTTGCCGGCAGAGCATCCCGACAATCCCGAACGTCCCAACCAGTTCGACCATCCCAACCTCTAACCATCTCAACCCTCCCAACCGTTCCAATCAATAATCAATCCCGAATCCCCGGCGCTGCACACCACCTCACAAAACTGGACCATGCCAGCCGTCCCGTTCGTCCCGAGCATCCCGAGCATGCCAACCGTCTGACTAACCTTGAAGCCACGCTGAACCAACCCTGAACCATCCCCAAAGCCATCCTAAACCAAACTCAAAATTCCCCGCCTAAAGCCACCCAAAACAGAGCGGAAAGCGAACCTAAACCAGCCTGAAGCAACCCTAGACCAAATGTTTGAGCCGATCCTGCACCCATACTGAACCACCCCAAAAATACCCAATCCTGAATCCACCCTAAACCACCCAATTGTGTTGGTCATTTCACCTCTGTCCGGTTGAGTCGCCTCGCCCCTGCCCGAAAAAGCGGGCGCCAGGGCGCCGAAACAGTTGCTCGTGGAACTTCTGGCGGCTCTCCGTGGTGGGCGTCACCTGGCGCTTGCCACGTCTGGCGCTTGCCAACTCAAAAGGGCTTCCTCGAAAACAACGGGTGTTTGAACCTGGCACAAATTTGCCAGCGGCACGATGGACACTCGGCCCTTCACCTCCTCCGACTTCGACTTGCGGCACTTCAGAATCTGCCGCGGGTGCACCGCACCCGCAGACCAGAACCACATGGAGCACTCTCGCTCATCCCAGTCTAGGGCTTCTTGTGGCAGTGCTGTCACATCGCGGCCCATGGCGGCCTTCGCCTTCACTTCTCGAGCCTTGAGGATTTCCCCCACTTCCACCATCTGATGCTCCGTGTGGTGGCAGCCGCAGCGTCGACACCTCAACCTTCCTGGAGAGTTCAAGCCCCATCGGAAGGGCACGTAGCAGGCGCAAGGGCAGTTGTTGCAATTCATCCGAGGCATGTTCATCGGGTCCAAGTTCCCAAGGTCCTTGTCGCGCGTCTTGGGGCTCAGCGTGATTGCTCGGGTCCAGGGGCTGCAAATCTCTCCGAGGCTCGTCTTGCCAACCACTCGCACAAGAAAACTCCTTCCTTCTGGCATGTTTTGAATGCAGCCTTCCGTATCTCTGCCCATACTCACACGCTTGACGGTGGCATCCTTTGCTGGCTTCAGATCTGGATCATTCTTTGTCTTCCCTGAGCGGTCAAGAGCCATCTCGATGAAGAAGTCTCGGCATGTCGCTGACGTTTTCCACTTCAACTCCAAGCATTCCTCAAACTCTTCGCCCAAGTTGACTTCGATGTCAGATTCGTTGGCCTTGGCCTCTGGGTATCCAGCACTTTTAGATGGAGGCATAGGCTGGAAGCCTATCCGAGAATCTGCTAGCTCATGGCTACATCAAGTCATTGTGCACACAAGAAAGCAGTGAGTTAGCTGTGTCTTGGATATTCTGCGATAAGAGTACGTGCATGCTTGAGTGCTCATCCAAATGAGGTCGCCTCCGTCCTGCTAAGACTAGACTGTCTACCCAAAGGCAACATGCTGCTAAAACTCGTTAAGTTTGGTTGCTTCAGCCCAAGCGGCTCCATGTGCGGCTGTATTGGTTGCTGTATGGCTGTTTCTGAGCCAAAGCTCTCTCTAGACACTTAGTGAGTTTGTGCCATGTCCGGCCAGTCTCGGCGTTACAGAATGTCTGCAAGCGCCTTGCACACCATGATCAGAGCATCCCGAGCCCACTTTTTGCCCGACAAACACGCTCATACTGACGCTCTCCACGAAGAAGATGTTCCATGCAACCTGTGAGAATGGCCTGTCTTGGCAACATAAAGACAAACAAGTGCTTGAAATCCTCGTACTCGCATTGGCTACACTATCAAGGAAAGTGCAACATTACTGGCAGTATAGATATTGCATGCACGACATACATTGCCCACACCACGTGTATTACATACATTGCATACACCACATATACGGAACAACTCATGTCAGCGTGCACTACATTTCATGACGTCGGAATGCAGCACGCTAGATACATGTTGCATCAAATAGTAACTTATGCTTGCGGCACACATAACATCACATCTGCATTCAAAGGCGACTCTTGCAGGCGGCGTGCTGGCAGTGAACATGCTGTAAATCACAGGAAGGAACGAAATCACTCCATTTTGCCACTAAAGAGGCCGCACACCCCGCTCCCCCCCTTCAATGTTGCAGGCATTCACAAAGGTGGTGCACAATTTCGGTCATTCCATCATGTTTGCAACCAAGAGCCCTAAGTAAATCTAAATGCTCAATTGGGACCGATATTTTGTGTGAACCATGGCGAAAGCGGTGCAGGATCTCGTCCGTCAAAGGTATCGTTGGTAACCCATTGCCACCATACGCAGGCTTGCAACAGAATGGGGAACGTTCTGCGCCAAGACGTTCTGCGCTCACAAAGAGGCACTGCTTCGTACCATGTAGGTGACCTTGAAGTTTTTTGCCGCAAAAGTCGAACAAAGGTTGCCCAGCCGAAGCAAAAAAACAGCTGCAAACTACGTCCACTTCTTGAAAACAGAAGCATGCACTTGACACATGAGATGCGAAGGCCGGAGCCTTAGCTAGGCAAGACTTTCTGTTGAATCTGTAAAGCGACATAACGTCGTGAGCCTGCCTGGAACAGGAACAGTGGCAGAGCAACAAGCCGTGTAAATAAGTTTTTGTTTTTAATCAAATGTGAAAAGTGGTCGCGCAGATGTCTGGTGCAGCAATGCGCAGACCACGCGCCCAACATTCCGAACGAAAATCAAGACAAATGCGTGTGTTCTTGTTTGAATTATGCGAGCCCCCTGCAATGCAAAGGCGGAATCAAGTGCCACTTCAACGTGAGCACTGAGAGTCAGCATCTTTTGATCCTTAGCAGTTTTCGCAGTAGATAAAACCGAAACAATGGTCTACGGACAAATGAGTCGCTATCAAAACCTGGTACTGAAGTGGTCCGCCCAAATGCAAGAATTAGGAGGGCGGTTTGCACCTACTCTGGTGGATCACCGACTCGGCTTTCATGACATGTTGTTCTGCTCGCAAGGAATGCGCGCAGCCATCAAATATGGGCCAAAGTCAGTGAAAGCAAACGCGGTGTGCAGACACAGCAAGCCGCTGGCCACGCGATCCAGTCCACAATTTGTTTTTGCAAAGAACAGCCTTGTGGACCTAGGTTGACTCAAGCCAGTTCTTTACCCGAAGAGAAAAGCAGTCTCGCGCTGCGCGTCAATCAGAGTGTCAATTTGTGGCCTTATATTCTTGTTGTAGAACCAGAGGCTCCTGACAGGGTACAACACGTACTTGAATCTTCAATCGCGGCAAGTCAAGCTCAAGAGCCGATGTGAGTGTCTTCATACTGCTCAGCAACCCTCGCACAGGGTGATTGTTTTATCCAGGAGAAGGCGTTGTTGGTCTTATGTAGTACACCGCACAGCATGTGCAAATCATCGATCGTGTAAGTAAATTGATATGCAGACTTATGCAGAAAAAAGCAGCTGCTTTTCGCAGCAGTTACTCGGCAATGAAAGGGCAAGGTTGCCCTTAGGCTGAATTGCGAAAACTGGGGCGTCTTCAATGCTTTGTAAGACACGCTCCACATGTCCAACGTTGCGCCAAAATTCATCAATTAGATTCGGGCTTCTCAAATAGGTAATGTGCCACAATCCACTCGTTGCCATCCTCAGCTGAGCTCAGCTGCCTTCAAATCTGGTCAAGTCACAGCGTTCGGGCATCAAGTTCAGTCACTGAAATCCAAGTTGCCCGGTATCCGAAGAGCTCGGCACAGGCCATGAAGAAAGCTCTCCATCGGTTCCACCACGCCTCTTCTGTGCCTGCATAGCTGCAAAGGAGTGCTGCTAATGCGGATGGGGACAATAAGGATTTGCCCAAACTCGTGTCCCTTCTTGTTGTGTGGGTGTGTCTTGTTTGTTGCCTTTGTCCGGCCTGGTGGATAGGTTTGACGCAGAAGTTCGCGCACGCGCGCTTCATTCTGGTCCATGTTTTGAAGCCACGCTTCAGAAGTCAGCTGATAATGTCGGCCATTTACCTTGTCACAGCGATCGCAAAATGAGCCGCGAGTTTCGTGTCAGCCCTCGCTCTTGTTTGCCGGAGGGGCATGCCAGTGGCGCCGAAGCGTCAAGTCATCCTGGAAGTAGAAAAGCAAGTCAGAAGATGGCATCGTGCCGCCTGACAGGCATCGCGGCGGCAAATGCTATGTTTCGTTAAGCGACATAGGAACCTGAGCTGCAATTGCACAACGAAAAGCAACTCTAGCTTTGGCTCTACTGGTAAGGTCAACAGTTCTGATTCAGATCCCATCAGGAAAACACCGGTTTCGGGAAAACGAGGAAGAATCCTCACAGGGAACACTTCTCTGCGCATCGATGCGCAGGCTTTCGCACGTCGCACGCAGGGCGCACCGGGAGCCTGCGAAGAAGTACCGGGCCATCCAATCTGCTTCGCTCTTGGCCACGAAGTGGTACGCAAACCGTGTGTGGGCCTAAGCTCTGCACTGAATTCAGGGAGCCAAGGACGTCACACCTTTCCATTTGAGTCGCACTGAATTTAGGGAACGGCAAAGGACGCCTTTAGAAACACGTTACCCCGTTGAAGTCAGTTTGCTGCATACATGTCTAGGTCCAAATTTGCATCGAGTGCCGGACAAAGATATGGACGAAGAGCTTGCCACCGGGGCGAAGGACCTCGCAGAGAGATCCCTCGGATGTCTCACGAGGGAACCAAACAAGAAGCCATCATGTTGAGACGTCCCTAGCTTTGCTGGACGAAAAGTATTTTTGGGGACTCCTCCACTTTGACAAAGCTCACTTCAACCAAGCCCATCTCACGTAAGGTCTGACATCATTTGGAAAAAAAAAACGAATATGTAAAAATGCGCCTTCGAGACACCGTTCAGCAGAGTCTGATAATTCTTCATGTGCTCAAACATCTCCTTCCGAGCGGGCAAGTACGCACTACTTGTAGTGGCATTTCTATTGCAGGGGAACATGTTGCCGCCGAAAAGCCACTGTGCAAACGCGGTCGTACCCAGAAGCACCAGCCCGTTCTGCTAGAAGAATTGGCAGCGTCTCTTCCAGACTGGTGGTGGACACATCGCATGTGACCTCAAGTACTACGGAACCGGCAAACAATGCTGCAAGGTCTGAGATACTCAGCGCGCTGCCACTCTTACATTTGTGAGGCCCTTCATTTCGGCTTGCTTCATGATCCAACCTCGACAAGTTGTGATGAGCTTGGAAACTGACACAACCAAAAGGCACAGAGCCCACCGAGCTCCCTGCCACGTTGCCCATGCGAGTTGGAGACACCCACCACCAGAGACGAGGGCAGTCGCTCGGCCAAAAAGAGCGTATTTGAGCCTTTGTCAAAAACCATAAGACAATCAAATGAGACGAACAAGGCAAATAAGCACGCTGCCCCATCCGCACCCAAGGTCCAGAATGGTCATGCCATCCTACAGGAAATGCAAGAATCAGGATACTATATGATACTATATGGATACTAGCTGGATACTATACTCTATGATGCTCTCTTGTGCTTGTGGGAAGCAGCATCAAGCAGGTCCTCGAGCTCGGCTCTTGCAATGTACTGCTCCAAGGAGCGCTCCTCCGCATCCGGAAGCCTCACGAGCTTGTGGCATTTCGCGCATCATGGCCATGGGTCAAAATCCAAATCGTACCCCCAGTGAACATCAACAAATCCAACCACCAAAATAGACTATATAAAATGGGTGGTGCACCTGACCCAAAAGGCCTCCAACCACTAAAATAGGTTCTAAAATGGGCGGTGAATTCACCAACCAAAATGGGATCCCCTTTTACGGTTTTGACAACAGCCATATCCATGGCCACAGAGCCCCAGCCAGACGGTGCCGAGCGGCAACTCAGCGGCGCGTGAAAAAAGATGGCCTCTGGCATCCTGCGAGCCGCGAAGGGGTTGGCGGGCCGTCGTTGATTTGGGGGCACCAAAAAGGTTGCTTTGGTTCTCTGCTTCGATTTTGGCTTCCTCTTGCTTGCCCACTAGTGAGTTCCTAGCTGTCTCCATGTCCTCTGGGTAGACACAGCCAGAGTACTTCTTTCGCGGGCCAAGCCACAGGTGGTAGAGCTCTGCCGGCACCTACACAGCTCTCCAGTCGCTACGCAGGGACCCAAATTCTGCTCTCCTTTCCTTGCGCTCGTCGGAAAGGCGACTCGACACATCGAGTCGCAAAGGCGACTCGACTCGTCGACGACTCGGCCTCATAGTGCTGCTCGTTGGCCTTGGTGGTGCAAATCGCAATGGGCATGGTGCGCAGGGTCTCGAAGAAGTCCAGCTTGCTCGACTGCCTGAGACCCACAAAAATCGAAGCGAAACCCAGGGAGAATCTGAAGCTGCAAGTGTCACATGCGTCGCTGCTCAGCTCAGCGGCATCTGCTCCACGCAGCCGGAACCCTCTTCCTCTCTGATCTTCTGCGCCTATGTTCAGCCAATGTGAAGCGGTGCTTGAAAGTGCCAAGAAGGCTTTGTCCATCAAAACTCCCAAATCATCCTTCTGGATGCTTTGGGCTCAATTCAATTCAAATCCACAAATTTGAGGCTAGCCAGTTTGTGACGCAGCCACTCCGAGATGGATTCACATCCGAGGCCGCCGCGAGCTTCATTCGGATGCCCACTCGCACCAACCAATCCGGAACTCGGCCCTCGTCCAGCATGCGCTGCGCGTGCGCGAAGGCGACAGCCTTCACCTTCCTCGGAGCTTGAGGCTTGGCGTTTCGGCCCATCCAACCATGAGAAACATGTCCGGAAGTGGTTGGCTTACTAGGAACGTGTACAGTCTCAAATCCTCTGGAAGTGCAAACAACCATCCCGGCCCTGTAAGCCCCCAGTCGAGGCTTGTCCGAGAATCATTCAAAGAAGAGAGCACAAACCGCCTTGGCATTCCCTCTCAACTGGTTAGGTTCTACAAGGGTCATGGATTCCTTTCGAAACGATGGCTTCCTCTAGGTTGCCTGATAACAATGCCTGAATGTTGGGCAGATGTTCAAATGGCAGAGCTTGGTATGGAACATGTCTGCTCCCACAATTCGCTGCGGAAAATCACGAGGCTGAAGCATGCCGTGAGGTGCAAACACATAGGGAAGGAGTTCTTCTTTAGGCGTGACGCCCCTTGATTGTGGCGAGCTTGCCCTGCAGGCTGCCGGACATTGCGCTGGATAACACACCTGCGCGCTTACAGCGCCACCGAAATCAATGTGCAAACAAAGACCTCTTGCTAGCACCAAAAAGGATGTTTCCGATATGGCTGTGGGTCAAAATCCCGTACCCCCAGTGAACATCCCAATCCCCACTAAAATAGGTTCTAAAATGGGTGGTGAATTCACCTACCAACCAAAATGGGATCCCAAAACGGTTTTGACCCATGGCCACATAATATGGAGCCAAGGAACGAATTTCCTAGGCGTCGGTCGACCGAGCAACCCTTGCGGCCTGTTCGACTACCATGCAGGGCATCTCCGTCAAATGAAGAGCCAAGCTTTGCGGCCGCAGAGACCTCGGGCACAGCAGTTGGAAACAATTCCATGTACCTGTACCCATGGAAACATGGAGTAAAACCTGCGGTCCCCTCGTTTTACAGCGTTCTGCCCATCTTACCGTTGTTGGTGGGG